CATGTAGCTATCAACTGTTGTACACTATGCTTTTTGTTTTGTACAAGTGAATGCTACTCTAAATTCCTAAAGTTAACGTCTTACTACCGTTAACAAGTCGTCATCTCATGTCCCTTCATCCACCTTGCGTCCTCGTCCACAATGAAGTATAGGCATATAGCTATTTCCAAGTAAGCATGTTATGAAGAGAGTCTATTTTGAGCGCCCATAGATGTCGAACCTCTTGAAGACTTGAACAACTTCCAATTAATGATTTATAGAATTATAGGTCACCCTGGCTAGCAAGGATCCGTCTCAGACGCATTTCTAGTCCCTATGTAGGGAAGATATGGATCTTCAAGAGAGCGCCTGATTGCAAAATGAAAACAATAAGCTCTTGGTCATCTTCCCCACAAGTAATTAAAATTTCTCATTTTGTAACTTTGCAGTAAACTTTATTTGCATTTCTATTGTCAATTCGTGTACTTCTCAATATCTATCATCTTTGGGTTACGTTTTTCTTTCATTTTACAAAAAAAAAGAACATGTTAGATAACATAAGAAGTTAGCTTCTTTTTTTAAATAGAAGCAAAATCGGAATCAATTTTCAGAAGTTGTTGCCCCCATCTTCTAAAAAAACTGACTGTAGGAGTAAATGAGAGCACCAGAACCACTTCTATGTTTTCACCCAAACACTCCAACTTCTGTTTCTGCTCCCTGAAGGAGCAGAATCGGTTTTAGAATCAAATCCAAACACCCCCAGAGTATGTATGTGTGTGTATTTTCAAGTGAATGTTCTACTAGGCTTATCAATATGAGAATTAGGAGAAATGTGAAATCATTTAAAAGTGGAAGGAATGAAGGATTGATTTGTTGTTGATCCAACCCAAGGGATGTGCCATTAGAATGAGAAACCATGCATGTTTTTCTTAATTGTGAACTATTACTATTTTGTTTTTAGAAAAAGGCAATATTTGATTAATTTCCATGACCAGCTTGTGCAGTTGATCTGTATGTCTGCTACCTCCAAATTTGAGACTTTATTAATCTTCTTATAATTATGTCAATTAATTTTGTCTTTTTGATTATTGTGTAGTATGATTTCACTCGGCTGGTTTTGGGGGATGAAAAATATGTGGAGATTGTTTTACAATACTTTTCACTAAACTTTTCAGGTTAGTAAAAGTATAACAATACTTGTCTGCAATAATCTTAATAAACATCGTTTTTGGTGAATCAGACTCCTAGAGAGAGTTAAACGAGGTATTTTTCATTTTGGAGTGAATTCTACTCAGTGGCAAGTATCTTAATTTACTTCATCAATTGGTATATTCATAAAAAAATATCTGTAGGTGGATACCTAGGTAACTTCTAACCTGAAGCTTTGTATACATTTTGAGCAGGTTGAGAATAAGATAACAATGACTTCATCTATTTTGACATATGGCGAACTGCAGGATGGGGTTTATTGTGGGCACATCATTTTATGTTGATCAGTTGATGACTTGATGTTGGGTTTCTCGTAAGCTATGTAATCCTCAGGAAGTAATCAAGTCCTCGTATGCATTATGGAACATGTTAAAATTTGATGTCTGTACATTCTTTTATTTTTGGATGGGTGCATTTATATTTAACTATAATGTTTGGTCTTTTACTAACATTCTTAGGGTATAACCAAAGGGATTGGAAACTACACTATCGTTTGCTCAATTCACTCACCAGTTTTTAACGGAGTGGGGTGATTTTGATTAATTCATTGACTTTTTAGTTTTATCCTCTATGTAATTTGGGAAAATAAACTATAGCTCAAACAAGGGAGGAAAAGGACAAAAACAATTGCAAGGCGAATGACAATTTTAACTCGATCAGTTCAAAACTTCCTTTAAAATTTACTCCGCAGATGTGAGGAAGTACATAATGCTTCTTTGTATATAAACTATAAAGAGAGTGTCCATTTTTCTATCAAATGCTCACTATTATTTGTACAGTCACAACTCATAAGGAAGCCAACATTATGTTTCATCATGGGTAATTAGTAATATTCACCTTTTGTCATTATGCTTTATCCCGGAAATGATTGATTTCACTTCATTGATCACATATTTGAGGTTGTCTTATATGATGATTCACCTCTATTCAAAGAGCATCCAGAACTAAGAGATGTGTCAAAATTAGTCATGGATTTGTCTGTGACTAATATATCCGAATTTTAAAAAAAATAAAAAAACTTAGTCACGGAACGAGTCCGTGATTAAAATAAAAAATAAAAAAAATGTAGTCACGGATTATGGCCGTGACTAACATGTCAGCGTGGTTATTCCTGTGACATATTAGTCACTACGTGTCCGTGACTAATCCGTGACTACGTGTAGTCACGGATAAACGACTGTGACTACAATTAGTCACGCTCGTTTAGTCACGGATTTAGTCACGGACTTAATCCGTGACTACCAGAGTTAGTCACGGATTTTTTACACTACAGTCCGTGACTAAATCCATGACTACGCCAGTGTTTTTTTGTAGTGGTTTATATACTCCCTCCGTCCAATTAAGATAGTTTTATCTTTCCTTTTTTGTCCTCCCACTAAGATTGTCTTATACTCCGTATCAGATTTGGTAATGTTTGTATGATTCAAAAGCATTCTTAATTTAATTTATCTTCACTCTATCAATTCAATACCAATAACATAATTCACCTTTTATGGTAACCACGTCACTTCTTCTTGTACTAATGTTAGGGAACAGAGGTAGTAACAAATATGGTAGATTTTTCTAATTATGTCACCTAACTTCCTCAAAATTATTTAAAAGCCCATTTGGTAACTCGTTTTTTTAGCTTATCAACCTTATCGGCACATTTTATTATTATTAAAGACGTAACTTTTGATTTCACGTACTGAATTATGCAATAATCAAAATAAGTGCAATAACTTTTCTGACTAAATCGGTAGATGATGATAATTTTAGTCATTTTCTATATAATGTTTTCTATATATTGTAGAACTTTAATAAAATATTTTTTAAATATAATCTTTCAATAATTCAACATATTTGGAAAATTCAGCCACCTTAGCAAACATTCTTCATTTTCAATATCTATTTAGCAAATTTAAGTGTTACTAAATGGACTCTAAATTAATAGAAAAGAGTAGTGTTGATGATTATGCTAAAGAAATAAAGACATCCGTAGTTCCATACTCATAAATCACATAATAATATGATAATAACTTGTTACGTAGTAGCTTTGTTAAGCAGAAACAAATCTAAGGAAAGATTAGAGCAAGAAAAAAAAAAGAAACGCGTAGGTTGTGTTGGAGTAATTCATTTGACGGAAAGCTCTTGTATTAAAAGCTTGTGCGTAAGTTAACCAACGGAATGCAGATTTATTAGGTGTTAAAGATGGTGAGACACAATGATTTTAGCTCAAAGTACATGTTTACCCTAGCTTATAATCAGGGGCGGAGCCAGGACACTGAGCCGGTACAAAGAATATTTTTGAAAAAGAATTTACACATAATTTTTTATTCTAAAAATTTAGACATTTTAAAAAATTTGGGCTGGACCAAGGGTTGCCACCCCCTAGCTACGCCCCCGCTTATAATTACACCAACACATTTTTCATACCTAAAATGCTATTACTCTCATTCACTATTTTAATATTTTATATGGAGTATATTATAGTATCTGCTTTATAAAATGTTAATATATCTGAATGGGATGAATTTCAAATTTGTGAGTTCCTATTTGAGGATGTCACAACACTAATGTTATCAAACTTGTGAGTTCCTGTTTGAGAGTGACACACTAATACTAATGTTATGGAACTGCAACATGCTTGACTAAAGGTGTCATTATTTATTAATTACTCGGAATATACAAATTGGTGAGGGGTGGCATTACTGACCCAAGTGGCCAAGGGTGCTGACTCTTGACCGGTAGGATTATTGAGTCTCAGGGTCAAAGGCTGGTGATGCACAAGGCCCACAATCATTCCCAACATTAAGGGTTGGTTTGCAACTACTTTTAAAAAAACACTTCTCAACTTTTGGCTTTAAAAAAACACTTATTTTCCCAAATACTACAACTTTTATTTTTCTCGACTTCCGCGTCAAAAGTGCTTTTACTTTTTCTATTACACAAAAAACACTTATTTTACCAAATACTACCCACTTTTATTTTTCACAATCACTTTTTTCTCAAACACTCTCAACTTTTATTTAATCACTTTTCCTCATTTCATTAAAAAAACACTTTTTTAAAAGCAAAAGCTGTTTCAAACAGATCCTAATTCAAATTAAGCTGTGAATGGTCAACCGAGTAGCTATACAGCAGCTTTCCAAAACATGATCTCGTGAAGCAGTTTGCATTTGGAGGCAGCAATGCTTTGAACTAACCTCACTTTTCTAAGTCAAAAACCCAAATCCAAGAATAAAAAATACCTGGTAACCCAAGTCAACGCCCGTCTTGTGTGAACTTTGATTATAGAGTGGTGACATGATTTATACTCCGTAATAATCTCCTTATCTCAAAATGTGTTTAGGTCCGATATCTTTCAAAAATTAAATACGGTATTAAGATCTGAGTTATTCATCAACTTTTTAGGACGAATTCCCAACTTTTAACATGATATTAGAGCCATAATCGATCTATGGTGTGAGACTCCTTAAGAAAAATGACGACACGATCATAAAAAACGACATATCACAAATTTAACTATGTAATGTATTGCAATTAGAAATTTTATAAATCGCAAAAGATGAAATTGAAGATTACAAAAACTGCACTTTAAATTAAAGAATAAAAGTGGACAGACAAAATGAGTCTTTATTCTACAATTTTTTTTTTTAAATCTTAGGAGCCGCTACTTATTCAAATCAAATTTGTATACTACTTGGATGACTGTTGTGTAAATTGAAGTTAAAATTTTCAAACAAAAACTTTGAATACAATGTATACCCGTATACCCTCAACATTTCTGAGCCAACGTCAGGGGCGGATCCAGAAAGTTAGACCATTGGGGGCAAAAATTAAGTAAAAGGTAAGAAAAATTCTAATAATTATAAAGCAACTTTGAAAGATGAAAAAAACCAATGTTAGCATACTAGAAAATATTTATTACAATTGCTCTCTACGAGTTTTCATTTTTTGAAAACGCTCCATCACCACTTCATTCGTAACTGTATCAAGCACATCTTTTTCAACATAAGAAATAAGACAATCATTCAAAAACTGGTCGCCAATCCTATTGCGCAGACTTGACTTCACAATTTTCATCCCGGAAAAACATCTTTCAACGGTGGCGGTTGCTACTGGCAAAATCAATGACAATTTAAGTAGTCGATATACTAAGTGATATGAGAGATGTTTTTTGGTATCCACCAACATTTTAGCAAGGTCGCCAAGGCTTTTCAAGTGAGAGAAGCGTTCATCATGAAGCACATCATTCATATAGAGTTTCAGTTGATGCTCAAGAGTATGTCGATCCATAAAGTCAAAGTCATCAGGATAAAACTCGGCCAATCTCATCAATTTCAGTTCATTAAACCCACTAAAAGAATCACTTGGACTCAAAGCTCCTGTACACATGAGCAATTCTGTATTCACCTCATCAAACCGATCATTGAATTCTACAAGTTGCATATCTACAACTGTATAAAAGCAATCCACAAAATAATAATGGAAGTTAGTGGTATTACTTTTTTTACGAGGCCTTTTTGGATTAATGTAATCTTCTTCCATTCTCAACATTGAAATTTCGTGTTTGTCACAAAAATCAGAGACTTTTTTCAAAAGTGAACCAAACCCATCATTGCGAACCTGTTGCAACTGCTCCTTAGTTGACCTTACTAATGACAGAGCATTTATAATGTCTTGATCTTTTCTTTGTAAGGCCATTGATAAAGAACTTGTGAGCCCCAAAATCAACAACATCAATTGCAAATAAAACACAAAATCAAATGATTGAAAATAGACGAGAATACCATGTGCCTGACGTCTTTTCACATCATCTTTACCATCTTTTTCAACAAATTCAAGAACTTCAACAATAGATGGAAACAACTCGACCACACGTAAAAGTGTTTTGTAATGAGAACCCCATCGAGTATCTCCAGCTCTTTGTAGCATAATCTCCTGATTCAAACCTTTTCCCGTACTAATGTCATTACAACTAATGGCTTGCTTAACTTTTTCTTGATGACTTTGACGGATCATATCTTTCCGTTTGCAAGAAGCCCCAACAACATTCATCAATAGAGATATCATATCAAAAAAATTCCCTACCTCAAAGTGTTTTTTGGCAACCGCCACAACAACTAATTGAAGCTGATGAGCAAAACAATGCACATAATATGCTGAACTAGTTTCTCTCAAAATCAAAGCTTTCAACCCATTAAACTCGCCCCGCATATTGCTTGCACCGTCATAACCCTGACCTCTAACCTTACTCAAACTCAACCCATATTCAGCAAATAAAGCATCAATAGCACTTTTGAGAGATAATGCAGAAGTATCCATGACATGAGTAACACCAACAAATCTTTCTTTAATTATCCCAAACATGTCAACATACCTCAAAACTACAGCCATTTGTTCCTTATCAGATGCATCACTAGACTCATCAATCATCAACCCAAAAACATCATCACCAATTTCTGTGACAATAAAGTTCACTATTTCTTGCGCAAAACAATGAGCAATGTCTTTCTGAATACTAGGAGACACCATTTGATTATTTCCAGGAGCATTTTTTAGTATGACTTTTCGTACAACTTCATTTTGATTTGAAGTATACTTTATCATTTCTAAAAAATTTCCTCTATTATTAGAGTCTTCAGTTTCATTATGACCACGAAATGGCAACCCTTGATGTAAAAGAAATCTAGAAACATCAATTGAAGCATTTAATCTGATGCGATACTCACTTTTCGCGGTCTCTGTTTGCTTATGAAGAGCAACACTGATTGATTGATCTTGCTTCATCAAATCTTCACACCTTTCGACAGCTATGTTATGAAAGCTCTTAACTTCACCAACATGGCTAGCTAATCTTTCAGTTTTGTTCCAGCTAGAAAAGCCCTCTGTGACAAATGCATCGTTTCCTGCTTGATTTTCATAGTTATCTCTAAACAAGTAACAACACAAGCAAAATGCTTTATCCACTTTTACACTGTACTCTAACCAATTCCCATAATGATCGAACCAAGCAGGATTAAACCGTCGCAATTTTTTGCTTATAATTTTCTGAGGAAAATCATGACCACGAGGTTGGCAGGGTCCTCTAAGCAAATATTTTCTTCTTATTTCATCTCTTTGATTAGGATGATATTCTGAAATTCTTTTCCTTTCTGCGGGATCCCAAGGAAGGTTATCCAAATCGATTTCTTTTGGCAGTGAAGGAGTGCTATTTGATACATTCACACTTGAACTTTGTCCCGCATCTTCGCTTTGATTGGATGGAGACGGTGATTTTCTTTTAAAGAAATTTGTTATCATTGTTTAATCTGTCAAAATAAATTAAGTTTTAACAAATATACATAATTTACACAAGATAATCTGTCCAAGTAGTTAAATTTTATCTGCCCTAAGCCCCTAAAAAAGTAGTAAAGCAAAAACTCACTTTACATTTTCACACGTTATGTGAGTTAGATGTCAAAGAATTTACAATATTATCGACCTAATAACTTATTCTAAAATCTAAACGACTAAACACACAAGGTATAATATATTAAGGTAAAGTAAAATAAAAAGCAAATTCTAAGGATTAAAATCTGAAAACCCAATTAACAAAATAGAAAATAAAAAAACGAAGTATTGAATTAATCAGAAAAACGAACCAGCGATTTGGAGTTTTGGAGGCAATCAAACGAAGACATGATTAGGAGGAGAAATTCATCCGGCGGCAAAAAGCATCCCAAAATCCATTCGTCGTCTCTTCGGCGTCCAAAGATGTATTCAAAACCAGGGGCAAATAAGCAATAGTGGCCGCAATCCGTATCAGTGCGTTAGGTTATTGACTATTGACCAATGATTATTGGTCTATAAATTAGATTAAATTAAAGGTTTAAAAATAAAAATTGAAGAGTGAATGACTGATTGGACTGGTGTGGGCCGTATAACTTGTACACTTTATCTTATGGCTTATTCGGAGAGTTGGACTTAACCAAATGCCAAAATATTAATGGGGTCACTCATTATTTCAATTGGGGGCACACCTCATTTACAATATATATACACATATATTTAGTATTAAAAATTGGAAGGCCATTGGGGGCATGTGCCCCCATTAAATGTATGGTGCATCCGCCCCTGGCCAACGTCTCATTTATATATAGATAGAAAATAAATTCTGGTAACGACTAATGACAATACATAAACAGACAAACAGTACATAAAATCCTAACATAGTAATAACAATAATGTTGCTAATCAAGCAAATTGACTCGCAAGTTACTCGAGATTGACTCGACTCGATCCTAAACTAATCTCAAATTGAGCCCAGTCAAGCTTAATCTAAATGTAAATTCAACTCGATATGCTAGTGAGCTGCTCGATTATACATATACATGACATTGCATTTTATATCCATAGTATGATCCTCACACAAAAAATATACACATCTTTAACTAAAATATACTCGTACTAGATATTTACATGTTGCTTACGTTTTAGTTAATGTTCTAAGGAGTTATGTGGATTTAGATATTTTAGGCAACACTTAAAAAACAGGCTTAACCAGTAACTTGGTTCATCTTAGGCTTAAATAAATCACGTACATGCGACAAAAGGGAGCTTTGATATCTAAGAGACAATTAGGTTTAGAATTTTAAAACAATTTGTTAATGTTTAAAAAGTTAATGATGATTGCACATATGTGTTTAGGTATATAACAAATCAAACTCTTTGTTTAAAATTATACTCTTTGTTAGAATAAATATAACCCGAGTATAACTCGAACTCAACTAGAACTCGAACCCACCTAGAATAATTCAAATACAGCTCAAGCGAAATTATATATTTTTCAACTCACCTTAAACTCGAACTTGAACTCGGTCTTTCCTTATCCAGGCTGACGTGATCTAAATTGAACTCGAGCTCGACTATCTCAATTAGCACCCTACTTAGTCACATCAAATAGTAAAATGTACTACTAGGTACTCCATCGGTCTCGCAAAATTTTACCAAACCTTGTTTTTTGCCCTCCACAAAAACTTTGTTGATTCTATTTAAAGTGACACTTTCTTTCTCCTCTACATAAATCTCAAATTCTCAACTGCATAATCTTTACTTTATTACCTTACGTTCAAGTTAAATTTGACCAACTTTTGTAGGATAGATGAATTAGGAAAATGTTCAAGTAAGGTAGGCCTAAGAATTGTAATTCTTAGGCCTCTTTCATTTGAGCTGCTTCCGGGTCGAATTTTTTGATGAAATTTTGTGAGCAAGTTCTCCATGAAGTGTAGACTATTTTCACCAAATTTCAGATTAAAATTCAATCGGAAAGTTGGTTAATTAATTTTTTCAAAATTGTGCAGGTTTTTAATATATAAAATGCAGTTTATTTTCAATAATTTATTTAACCAACTTCCCGATTATATTTTTTTTTGTGAAATTTGGTGGACATAATCTACAATTTATGGAATATATGCTCACAAAGTTTCATAAAAGAATTCGACCCAGAAGCACCTCAAATAAAAGTGGCCTAAGAATTACAATTCTTAGGCCTACCTTACTTGAACATTGTCCAGATAAAGTATATTAATACATATATCTGGTTTAAAAGTCCAAACAATAATAAAAATATTTAGAGTTAGGTTAATTACTTTTAATTAAACTGATTTCAGTCTAGATAAATAAGCCCGAATTAAATCACATCAGACTTGGACAGACTGGTCCAGAACAAACTTCAACCGTTTTAAAATACACATAGAACATACATTTATCAGACCAAACCAGTTTAAATTAGACTAGACCTGAAAAGGTTTAGTCTGATTAATGATGTTTTTACTTGGACTTATTCAATCCTAAACAAAAAATGTATGTGTGCCACAAGCAAAAAAATTCATAGGCACGAAAATGATTTTTCACGAAGTGAAATAAATTGTGTCTGACCCACGTGTAAAATGGTCCGTACTATGGTAATTAATTACGTCACTGCTGAACCCCTAGGCCCTTGCTAGCTTCCGCTTTCACTCTTGCCGAGTAATTGTTTAAAACTTGCCGGCGGCGGCCGGCAAGATCTTCAAAAATTCTAACGACCTACCTATTTGCAGAAACTCCCCGGTTGTTTCTATGCTTTGGACTTTGAATACTCTATGCTGCCCAAGAATTTTTCAAGACAAATCGATGACTCTGGAATACTATAAATTTGTCACCTTTCCCGCATTCCTTTCATTCCACACAAACATCCAAATTCACATTTGGAATATTTGATAAATAGAAATCCCACTTCAAAATCTCCTAATTTAATTTCAGGATGAAATCTCCCGGCGTGTTCTTGGTCTCTTTGATGACAGCTTTGGTTACTTTCTCCCTTCTTTTGGGTTGCTCAGAAGGTCGTCCCCTTGATATTATGAAGGTCCATGGCGCCTCCACCGCCGTCTTGGGTGGCGGAGGAAATGCATGGGATTTGGCCTGGTTGACTCTGGGTGCCGTCAAGGGTGGAGGGCCTAGTCCCGGCGGCGCAGGCCATAGGTTTTTCACGGACGGAGGAGTCAAGGACTCCGGCCCCAGTCCCGGCGGCGCAGGCCATAGGTTTTTTACGGACGGTGGAATCAAGAACTCTGGTCCCAGTCCCGGCGATGGACACCGGGTTGTCGCCGGTAACCGTCAGTGAGCAATGAATTAAACCCGCCGTTATATAGAAGTACAATATTTTTTAATTCAAATTTGTATGTACACATCATTACTTCGTTCTTTATTCTTGTTTCTCGATTATTTGTACCATGGGTTTCAGCGAATCCAAATCGCTAATGGTTAAGTGATTAGACTCTCACAACTGAGTGATTTATTCATGCAATTTTGGTATAATAAATAAATAAAGGTCATTGCTCCGGATAGCTTATTGGAAGTGGCTGATATTCTTATTAATTTGCTTACGTGCCCCTATTTTAATACGGAGTAACTCATTTAGTTTACATCAATCCTCCGGGCGCCGACCTCCGTTAACCATGTCGGTCTCTTTCAGTTGCTCCGTTATTTGTCCAAATTCTTCCGTATTTATTAATTTGTTCCAAATTCCAAAACTTCAATTCCAATTTGTTTAGTTGCTCCGTATTTATTAATTTGTTCAAGCCTTTAGTGTATTTATTAATTTGTTCAAGCCTTCCATAGTTTAGGGTTTCTATATTACAATTTATATTGTGTTTATATTTTGGAATTGTATTTTTCATATGATGTTTTTTAATATTTTTAATATGTTTCATATATATATATATATATATATATATATATATATAATTACCTACACATACATGCATATATGTACAAAACATATTATTTTATTCTACAATTATATATGATGCTTCGTACTTGTTGAGTTTAATCCAACACGATATAATAAATATAAATATAATTTGGTATGAACAAACCCGAAAGAGAGAAGACCATGATATTTTTTATGCTAATATTCAGACCCTCTCATTCTCATTAGACTCTCCTCACCATTAATTACAATGTACAAATATTGAAGCTCCCACTAATGGAGGATAAAACTATCTAGAGAGGAGGAAGAGAAGGGGGGTGAAGGGAAAAGTCCCTAACAATGGCGTATCCAAAAAATTTGACGAGTGGGGGCAAACTTGACTACAATTTAGTCTCATATTTCACAACTAACAAATCACATTATTAGTATTGTTTGATTAAATTTAGTTTATAATATCTATGTACAAGTATGAATAAAAAGAAGATTAATTTATATTACGGGTGTGTAAAGATGTAATTGCAGATAAAATGTAATAATTTTACCTAAATATAAGTTAAACAGTCTTAAACATAACAAAATTTAGTGAATTTTTTAGCCTTTCATTCTTTTAATACGATAGTATTAAAGAAAACACTTCTAATCCTATTTTAGGATATTTTTCCTACATTTAACTCTTAATTTGAGCAATTTCTTGTAAAAATTTGGACATATATATAGGGGTTGGGTTAGGGTTGAGTGGGGGCAGCTGCCCCCGCTGCCCCCGTAGTGGATACGCCACTGGTCCCTAATAAGGAGGGGAATCCCCATATTTATAGGGGGAATGGGGAGAGGGTGCAAACCATCCTAATGGGCCAAGTGGGCCGAACTGGGCCCAAAGGGCCAAAACAGGCCTGAAAAGGTTGAAGTGTGCCTCATCGATCGGTCTCCAAACTGGGGTAATGTCCTGCACCCCCTAAACAGTAGTGGGCCAAGATAATACATCTCAACAGTACTAATTATATAGATCACAAAAAATTTATATGATTTAAAAATTATAAAATGAAAATAGTTGTTACATTTTTATATTATGTATTTAAAAAATAATGTCTGGGTCACTGGGCCCATTGGTCGGGCTATCCTGGTTAGATAACGATCCTAAGTTTGGTCCTACTGGTCCAAGTTCGGGGCCTAGGCCGATTAGGCTCTGGGCCTAGTTCCATAACCCCGTTAGACGTCTATATTTTATATTATGAACTTGTATAATATTTTATATTTTTATTTTCTATTTTTTAATTCCTTATTTTTAAAAGCAATTTGACATTTTTAACAAGTGAAGGGGTAAATTTAAAAATTCTATTGGGTTCAGGGGCCCGATATTGCCACGGAGGATGCACAATTGACATCTAACCATGTGAAATGGCGGTGACCAGACTTTTACTTGCAAAAAATGAGATTTGAAATTTTTTTGTCAAGTTCAGGGGGTGAATTGGTGTTCCCTAGAATTCAGGATGCGAATTGAGCATTTCGGCCAGGTACAAGAATCTATTTGACCCTTTAGCCTGTAATAGATTTAATAGAGTTGCAGTTTACACAGTTAAAATATTGCTTAATGATAGAAGAAAAATTATTTCCAAAGTGGCATCAATTTAGAGCCCGTTTAGTAACATTGTTATTCACTTATTAGGCTTATCACTTTATTAGTCAACATTTTCACCAAACACGTAACTTTTGATTTCGCGCGCTAAAATGTCTAATAATAAGAAAAGGTAAGGTTAAAGTTACTTTTTTGGCTGTTTCGACTAAAGTTATTGTACAGGACCATTTTAGGTATTTTACATATAATTTTTTCTTTATTTTATAATAAAATACGGAGTATATTTTAAATTTAATTTTTTCATAAACCAGCCGAATCAGCCAATACAGCCAAGGGTGGACCCAGGAAATTCATCTTGGGGGGTTTAAAATATTTGGGGGGGGGGGGGGGGGGGGGCGAAAATTATTTTTTTGGGTGGGTGAAAATTATTTTTTGAGTGGACGAAAATTATTTTTTGGGTCTCTACTACGGTCCACCCCTAAATACAGCCACTTAAGCCAAAACTTCATAAATTGTAGTAGGATGTGTCGATTCAACCGATTTCACTGTTACCAAAGGGCTCTTATTAACACAAAAGTGGCATACATCCATTTATTTCGAAAGACAGAAGCTTATTTGAACATCATAATTTCATATCAAATAAAACACTCATTCACAACTTCTTGATATTTTCCTCCAACCAAAAGACAAAAGTTGCCTACTGCATTGAATGATTTGAATTCATATGTACTCCCCAGTCCCCTCAACAAGTGATGTGTTTATGTTCAAAACTTCAAACATAGGATGATACTAATTATCAATCCGTTATCAATTTATCAATTATCATGCTATGTTAATCCATCAATTCTGAGATGTTCATTTTTTTCAACAATAGAATCAGCACTTCAATCATTTTGATGACCTTTTTCAAACAAAATACGGCTGCTTATAGAACTATTGGTTTCAGCTTCAATTGCATATGCAAGTAGTTTCAAAACCCCAATACAGTAAAATTGATGGAAACTCCTGACAGTGCCGATTCTATCTAAATTCGGGCCTGAGTGGAACTTCAAAAAAAGGCCTCTATAAATTGTAATTTTATGTAGTAAATTTGTTTTAAACTTAAAGATACATCATAAAATAACTAATTAAATAAAATTATTACATTATGTAATATAACAATACCAAATGTTTTAGAAATAACGAATTAGTTACGGCGGATATGACAATTTTAGCCACAAATGTTAATTAAGTCGGCGTAATCAAGGAGTTCAATAAACTCCTTGTCTATTGATAACATAGCTAATTCACAAAATGTTAAACAAATGCTGTAACAAAACGTAAATGAAAACATAATTTATTGAAATCATATACAGAGTATATTATAAATATTGATAACATTAGTTAAACAAATGTGCTAACTAATGCATCATATTAACATGTCACTAAATCAGAGAAGATAATCCACTTAAAATTTAATTAGTAAATATAAAAAAAACTGAAATTGTTTAATTCTGAATCTCAAATCGTTTAAGTATCCTACATTAAGCTCAAACTTAATTTTCTAAACATATAGATCAATCAATGGGATCTCAAATAAACCTTGGAACAACTTATTACTCCCTCCGGTTCTTATTAAAGTTCACAGTTTGACTTCACAGAGATTAAGAAAATAAATTTGACTTTATTGTAGAGTGCACTGTTTGGCACTGTTTCGCAATGTTTGACATTGTTTTGCACTGTTTTGTTTTCTAAAATGGAAGTGTAAACTTAAATAAGGGGCATCCAAAAAAGGAAAATGGGAACTTTAATAGGGACCTGAGGAAGTATTCATCTCTCATTAGCACAAAAAAAGACTTTTTGATGGTGCAAAAGAAATTCAAATTGGGGCCCATAAACTTCTAGCTTTAGCATTTGAAAAGTCAAATCTTCTATGCGGCTTTCCGTTCCACTTGGTTGGTACTTGGAGCTATTTCGAGTTTTCAAATGCACCAACGGATAGAATTTAAACAAAAGTAGGTCTTCTATAATTTAAATACATATGTATAATGGACAAATATTTTAAATTATGGGCCCTAAATTTTTAACCTTTTTTGGGGCCCTGAGGCCTTTGCCTCAATGGCCTCTAAGAAAGCACGACTCTGACTCCTGATATAACCAAATCTGCCCACCATATTTTGCAAAAACACACAGATGCTCGAATTCAGAAAACTGCTTTGAAATCCATAAGTAGAGAAAAACATTTGTTATTGGATATGCACTTTCTTTTCTTGGAATCTTTGTGAGAAACCGAAAGAAAATGACTACAATGATTTGTGCGACACAGACAAATAGATACTCCGTAATTGTGGAGCATCCAATGGTGAAAGCAATTACAAATTACAAATAGAATCTAAGAGCATCTCCAATAGGCATATGAATCAGTGAGATCTATGACTAAACATAATAAAATTCAAAAAACTAAGATACACTAAACCAAAAATCATTCTATTAAGAAAAGTATAAACAAAAATCATTCACACAAAAAAGTCCTAAAAGATTGAATTTTGATCGGATAATTGATAGTTATTTCACATAAATTAAAAACCCTAACTAGATGTAACGAATAAACCTCATACATTCAAAAATTTGGTAGATTGTGTTAAAGATAATTCTTCCAAGACGTCAAAACTGGGATTGGGCTGCATCCTTTGATGCGGCTGCGGTGCTATTAGATTGCGACGGAGAGAAGGATAAGCCGTCTCTTTCTTCTTTGGTTGCGATGGAGAGAGCAGGAAACCGGAATCAAAGGGGATGCAGAAAGAAGTGTACGACTCCGTTACAGTTTGAAGCGGCCGTTCATTTTAAGGACTAGTCTGCAAAATTTATTTTTACTAAACCGACCCCAGTCATTAATTCATTATTTCAGCGGTATATGTTAACATATCTACGTGTCTATCTATTATTTGGCCACATCGTCAATGTACCGTACCTCTAAAGTATGTTAGGTACCGAAGAAACTACCATAAATAAAACATTGTATACAGTCATTTTTTTTTTGTATACATATGTTGAGCCCGCATTGGATGTGTATTTTTGTAGTATGTATCCATCTTCATTTAGTATATGATTAATGATTGTTTGTTACC